GCCAACTCTCGGAAATAATACCCGTCAACTCTTGTCAAGCAATGAGCACGAGGATGAGAAGTAACAAATACGCAAAATGCCCCTCCCCCACCTCCTCAAAGCCGAACTTGGAGCATTGTCGGCATTGCAAATGTTGTCACATTTGCGCCGGAAGCGAACTGATCTATGCAGTTATCACAGAATGCTCTTCGCGCGCCGTCCCGATGTGGGCGTTGCTTCCCACATTCTGTAGTATTCCGCGTTAATTTCGCGTCATCTGAACTATTAGAGTGGATTTGGCCCTTGACCGAGCAGTATGTTCATTTCCTGAACTGTACGCTTTTAAGCTTTTGAAGGATGTGATGGCGCAGAAACCTTGGGCCGACAATAAGCATTCCCCTGAAACCGCGACAGGCACAAAACCAACCAAGTAAATGAATCTAGAAATTGGCTGAAATTCAAGAGATAGCGATTGAGGGGAGCTTACCGTAATCCATGGGTGCCTCAGCGCTTCCTGCACGGTCATGCGACGGCGTTTATCTTTCACCATAAGACGGCAGATAAAATCCTGAATTTTGAATTGTTGAGCCTCGTAGGGGTTAGAACTGCAGAACTGTTTACCTTGGCAGTGTCGGAGACGTCATCCCACGATGGGTCGTCGAAATCCCAGTCGCCAGCAGAAACGTTTGCCAACGTCTCCTCGTCTGTATCGCCCAAGAACGGCGACAAGCCAGAAAGTCTGAATCATCGGTTGATAAAGTAAGCAGGTTACTAGCCTTACACCCTACCACACCCGAGCGATCTTTGTCCCAGGCGCAATCGTAATAGCTATTGAAAGGAAATGCTTTGTCGTCGTAATCTACGCTTGGAAAAGGCTTTTGTAACATCGATGCGGCCATAAGACTCGGAAGGTAGTTCAGCTATTATTAACCAATAAGACCTAGCAGGCAAAGGTAATGGACGGGAGCTGAAAGCCATGAGAATCTTCCTTTGTTGTTTCAAATTCGAATTTGAAATTAATTATTATTCAAAACTGATTATCAATTATTTAATTTAATTCTGTTCAAACTCACATGAAACAGGGAGCAGTTAATGACTTAATAGGGTAGGATCAGAACTCCCAATCAATTCTATCCTACCGGACTCACTGAAATAAGTGCAGGTTCCTGCAAGCACATGCACAATGGGAGGTGTGCGAGAGCTCTTGATGCAAAAACTTTAGCAGCGAGTGGTTTCGATCCACCGACCTCTGGGTTATGGGCCCAGCACGCTTCCACTGCGCCACGCTGCTGTGGTGTGTTTGTTGCTGGTGCGCTTCGTTATAGGAATTCTGTGGCTTCGTTTTCGCGAATTCTGCACTTTTATGATTGTATTTCTTTCCAGTGTACTAAAAAGGTTGGTAGTTAGAACTCTTCCGCTCACAGAGCTATGTTTAGGCCCCTGAGGACGACAATCTAGTCGAAAAGTCAGGTTACTAGCATTTGCTGCGTTACCAACATCGATCCGACATTATAGTGAGGGCGCAGTTCGGCTTCGTGGGACCTAATCGTATTTGGCAGAGCCTGCACAAGGTCACCTACCATGTGCCGAATTCCTGCAACCAGTGATTCACTTGTACCACTTCGCAGCATCGACAGCTTGCTAGTCCCACCAAAATAAGAGCTGTTTATTAACAAGAACCAGCTGAAGCAAAGAGCGGAGGTGCAGACTACCCCTCCCAAGCCGAACAGCGCTCATAGTCAGATCATAATGGCTTCGAACCGATGGCCGTTCTTTTGAAATGCCATCAATCACATGAAAGGAAAGGAAATTTCAGAAAAAGCAAGCACTTACAGTACATAGGATATCACTCCAAGAGTCCACATATCCGTGCTGAGGCCAACTGGTTGATAGTTGACAACCTCAGGGGCGCAGAATTCCGGTGTTCCAAAGAGAAGTTTCACGGATTTCTTCGGATCCAGCTTTCTAGCCAGTCCAAAGTCAATGATCTTCACCTCAGTTGAATTTTTCGATTTCAAAAGAATATTTTCAGGCTGAAAACTGTTTTCTTGAAGGGATACAAGCTCCAAAGACTCAAAAAAGCCGCAGTCATTATGTGAAAATCAGTTGTGTTCCAGATACAGTCATGAAGCCTGCAAACGATAGAGCGTGTGGCGAGGGCGTGGCTTGGTGCGCAACTACGACAGATTTTCCACCATTTGCAGCGGCCTCAAGAGAGTGCTATTGGTGGGAAAGGACCGTTCTTGCAGCAGTGCAATTCACCCGCGCCACACGTCTTATCCTTTCCAGAGATCATAACGGTGGTTTCACCGTGAATAATAACCTCTATTAGGGGATTCGCCAACAAAAATGTACCTTTAAATCCAAATGAACTATTTGGTTTTTGTGCATGTGCTGGACACCGAGAAGGATTTGATGCATGTAGTCTCGAACCTCTTGTTCACTCATTAGCGAATCGTCCTCCATGATTTTCTCAAACAGTTCGCCACCCGACACACTGTAATTGCAGCACAATGGTTATGAGTCCCCGCCCATTCGCTTATCGCGGAATGGCTTCCTATCAATAAAAGTGAACTCACAATTCTTCAATCAGACACATCTCATTGCCCAAATCAAACGCTTCATGCAAATGCAGCAGTTTGTCGTGATTTAGTTGATTCATCACTGAAGGACGTCTTCTCTTTTCACTCCAGGTCGCACCTAAACTTCAACTCGTCATAAAGAGATCTGAGGAGTTTAGGGTTTTTTTTTCAAATTTTTCTACAATAAAACCAAATTTTCAACAGCGTATCAAGAATTGCCAATCCATCGGAAATAAAGGGATTCCTCCTCTCCTTCCTTTTTCCTTACCCCCGTGCGGGATTAACGCTAGGGAGAAAAGAAAGGCATGAAGGTCCGACCCACGAGTTGAACAAGCTTCTATGTTTATTGTTTTGGCTGTGCTCAAGGTCAAAATAGTTTTGAAAAGAGTGGACAAGAAAATAGTTGGACGAGTACAGCATTTGTGGTGTTATGTTTGCTCCGAACAAAAACCCTGAGATCCATTATGGAGTACCGGCTAGGGCAGGACCTAAGATGGTGTCCCGACCAGTCTTTAGGACGTTGTCCTAGCCAGGTTTCCAACATATATCCTATGGCCCTTATTACTGTGATATCAGACGGATTGCCTTTCAAAAGGCTTCCGTCTGATATCACAGTAATAAGGGCCATAGGACTATATCGTCAGGTCGTTCAATAGCGACCCTGTTCGCCTCACCTTCACCATTTTAGCAGCCCAAGTCTTTCCGGTGGCCTTCTCTATGGCTCGATATACCGTACCATAGGCTCCTTGTCCAAGTTCTTCGCAAATGATGTACTGAAATAAGGACCGCAAATATTCCAATACACGCGATCAAAGGAAGAGAAGCAGCAGTGGGAGGGCTCACCTTCGCCTGGAGATCATTTGGCAGTCGATTTATATCAATGGGTTTATGCTTGGATAGGTCGACTTTTGCATCCAGTTTGTCATAATTGATTGCTTCAGTGTCGTCATCTCCAACGGCTTTCCTCTTCTTTGGTTCTTCAACGGCTCGGGAGACATCCTGAAACGGGCTTGATGGTCATGCGACGACTAAGCGAGACTATGGTTCTACCGTGACCAGTACACGTCCTGATATTGAGGGGAATTCTTAAAGAATACGATCTCCACCCCTCAAAATTCCCTCGTCTGGTACGAACCCCCCACCACCCCACCGTTTCATCGTCCCCCTCCTACCTACCTTTGTCTTCCCAACCCTCCCCCCCTACGTGTTCCTCGAAAAAAATACTGCCGTCTAGTGGGGAGAGGGGGGTGGGGGGCAGGGCACGCCATCGTTGTGATGATCACAAGGGGGTCGTATTTGACCGCGAGGGAGGGGGGTCGTATTTGGTCAGAGAAAAATTTTTTGATAGTTGATTTCTCTTGTTTCACGGACGGTATAAAGGGAGGGTCGTATTTGGCCCAGGGCACATCGTTGGTTGGGGAATCCCCAACAGGGGGGTCGTATTTGGCCGCCAGGAGAGGGGGGGTCGTAGTGAGTGCGGCAGCCAGTAACGAGCAGCGCAAATTGTCAATGTGCTGAGTCCTTACAGC